GATCAGAGCACCCTATATGGTTGGACACTGACTTCCATAATTCAAGGTGGCAACATTATTATGCCAAAGACCTGGTTCTTTAGAGGTTGTGTAAAGGCCACTTCCTTCCATATGAACCTGTCTCTTATTTATGATAACGATTGGGGCCTGCTATTAGATTGATGAAATAGACTCTTTTCAAGATCTAAGTGGGAAAACTCCTTGCTGGAAAAGGTATTTTGAGTTTCTTTTTACTTGCATTAGATAAACTACACAAATCCTTATATCCCACTCGACATGAAATGCTGCGTTATGCTTCATGTCTTTCCATTTTGATGGTAATATGTGCTCAGATTTTATTGTATGGTACAGTTATTTTCTGATAAATGCCTGTATTCTGTGGTAATTTATTTTTTATTTTTTTCAAAAAATAAAACATGATAGAGAATGTTCTTTAATTTATGGGCCAGTCATTCTTTTTCAGATCTACTTCTCTACAGAGATATTATTATGGGGATAAAATACTCTGGGAGAAAAGCAGGAAGCGAATGATACTAGTAGTAATAACAGCAGCAATAACAGTCTATATTCAGTCACTAATTTGTTATTATGACACTCCTCTTCACATATTGAACAAGCAAAAATCGGTCCAGGCCTTCTAAATATAAATCTTGGATGCCAACTGCATTAAACACTTGGCATACATTAACTGAGAATGGAAACATGTGAGCTTTCTTATTTATTTGTCTTTCTTGGAGGCTCTGTGAAAGTGCAATTCTGCAGCTTAAGACTTCTTGGAACAAATGCCTTTTTTTGTGTGAGCAATTTCTGCATCTGGTGCATTCGTGCTCACATTAGTCCTATTTTAGAAGTCATTTTTGAACGGGTTCAACACTCTGCTTCCCTGTCTCTTTGCGTTTGGAGGTATGCCACTAAATTAGCACAGCGCATTAATTTTATTGCCGGGTAATTTATTTAGTCAATAAAAAAGGTTGCCGTTGTTTTTCCAAATGTATTTGCTCCGGCAATCTATCCCTTTATGAAAGAGAGCAGAATTTAGCCATCATGGCAAATAAATAGTTCACTGAATGTTTGGTGCCGATAGTTTTCCATCATGTTGTAAAACTTTGCAGGGCATAAAAAGGTAATAAAATCTAAGATATGTTGCCGTTATATGTTTTGTTTTCATAATGGGATAAGTTTACTTGTTCACATGCGCGTAGCAAGGCAGATCTAAATCTGATTATGGTAACCTAACAATAAGATGTGTAACAGCATTTGAAGTCAGATATAATTAATTCCTTTCCTTTTGTTAATTGTAGCCTTTCCGCTGCGCACACTGCCATTATTCCTGCAACATATCTGGTTCCCTCAAACGACATTATAACAGGAAACATCCCAGTGAAGAATACGTTAATGCAGGCTCTGGTGAATTTGCAGCGGAAGCCCTTCTCCAACAAGGTAACCTGTCTGTTTTGAAAACATAGATATTTTTCCTTTGCTTTCACCTGTAGTTCCTTTTCTCACAGAGATAATGTTTTGCATCATTGATGAATGATGGATTTCCTTTTCCTTTCCTCTCCACGGAATTACTTTTGAGCATCATCTCCAAGAAAGAAAAATAATTTAAGTTGAAACTGATAAACCAAATAAATGAGAAGACTAATATGTTGTTGTTCTTCACTGTGGAAAAGTAATCCAAGTGTATTTCTGTGGGTCACCTGAAACATCTGAAAGAAGCAACATTCTGATTGGCCACATATACGTTGGCTTGGGTTGGGTTGAGTTGAGTTAATTGGGTTGGGTTGCTTAAGTGTTGGGTTGGGTGAGATGGCTAGGTTGAGTTGAGTTGGGTTGGGTTTGGTCTGCAATTTCCAGATCTGAACATGGAAATCAGTTTCCATCCATCTTTGGCCTGCGAATTTCATCAATTTTGATTTCTGTTTATTTAAGAGAATATACATGGTCAGCCACTCAATCTCAGTGACTCTGAGTATCTTAAAAAAAAGAAAAACAGTTGAAACAATAACCCCCATCCCCCTTGTGACAACAATCAGATTTGATAAATCCCTTGGGTTTGTGCAAAACTTTGGAGAGACATTTTGCTTCAATCATCCCTTCAACAAAACACTATCTGTTCAAAATGAAATGGTACCTGGCCTCTCACCACTTCAACAGAGTCACAAGTCCTGTTAAAGCAACTGCTTCCCTGGCCTTCAACTGTCTACTTCAAGGAGCAGAGGTCATTTCTATCAAAGTGAAATGCCCTGCCTAAAATGCATCTGATTGTTGTAAGCCTGACATATGATTCATTACAAGAATTACTGACCAGGTCCTTATGAATATGACTTGGAATTAGAATCCTGGTTAGTTGCTCTTTTTGTGAAGCTCCCTGGGCCATATTCATTTCAAATTTTGTTCCAAAACAGATTTATCTCCTAGAGATGTAAAATTAGCTGGACTTTCTTCCAAAGAGCGAATTGAGCATCAGAAGATTGGCCAAACAGATGGCAGATTAAAAAGAAATACTATTACTTTTTTTTTTTTTTTTTTGGACATCAAAATAAGCTTTTTTTTTAAGGGTTTGGAGAACTGTGAAGTATGCAAATGTAATCTCTCAGGAGATGGTCTTTCATCTCTTAGCGGACACTGTGCTGTTGTTCAGTTTGGCAATCTGGCCATACGAGCTAATATCTTGCAGGGTATGAAACGGATTTAAAAAATTCAGGACATTACAAAAGGATGTAACATCCCTGCCAGTGAGGAAATAAAGGTCCCCAATTGAGATTGTGGTGCTTTTTCAAACGCTGAGCCGGTTGTGTGAGATGGCTTTTCTTATTTTATTCCTGATTGTTTCCACGTTATCTTTCAACGTTGAATGATGTTATATAAAATTCTCTTTCCCCATTTCAAAGCAGCTTGGGAGGATTTAAAAATTTCCCCCGTTTTGTTACACTAGAATAGATGCCAGCATAATGCAAGGCTGCTCTGAGTAATGAATAAAACATCATTTTCTCAAGCATGACATTTTAAAGCATTGCTAAATTATTCTTTTTCTTTACTGCGTTTTTTTTTTCTCTCTCCTCCCCACAAAATTTATGTCTATAAGAAGCGTGAATCTATGTTTCAGTACCATGGAAATGGTAGCACGAGACAAATGTGTTAAGGAATTTGCATTGAGTTTTCCTTCCAGTGTCAAAGAAATTTGAGCAAGACAGACTAGCATAAAATATATGGGAGGCTATTTAGAATCCCGACCATGGTTGAGAATAACAAGAGTTTGTGATGACTTAATAGATGGATATGTTTATCACAGTATGTGCTAGGAAAAGAAATTGCTCAGGAATATGAAGTACAGGTAGTCCTCAACTTATAACCATTCGTTTAGTGAGCATTCAAAGTTACAACAGCACTGGAAAGGGGACTTATGACCATGTTTCACACTTACAACCTGTCATGCCCCTATCGGAGTCCGAATCCGAGGAGGATGCCAGACAGCTGACAGGGTGGGAGTGTGGCTCCATTGGTTGTGGGGGAGGCTGGAGAAGGGCAAAGTCCAGCTGGGCAGAGCAGGGGAGAGGTAGAACAAGGGAGAGGGAGTTCAGAGAAAAAACCAGGCCCACCCCCTCTTCATCCTAGGGCACACAGGGAGGAACGGAGAAGGGAGCAACTTGGGTTGCATGGCTTACGAGGGAGGAGAGGGCCCTGATTCCCTTCATTAGCCACAGCTGGGAAGACAGTTGATAAGAAAGGCAGGCTTCATGCAGCAGGCTGCTGGGAGCAAAAGTGACTTTATCCTGTGTTGTCATGGCTTATCTGTGTTCCTGGCGTCTTCCCAACCCTGAATTTTGCCATGCCATCAAGCCTGAAATTTTTGCTTCTGCCCTGCCAAACTAATTACTTCAGTTTGGTTTGTTTGGACTTTAACTTACACTTTGTGTTGCTCATGTTTTGGACTAAATTTTCTGCAGTCAAATGCTGTTCCTGGGAGAGTTTTTCTCTAGCCAGAAGGTAACCTGGACATTGGGGGCAAAGTTGGAGATAACAAAAGGACACTTGTTGCTTATCTGACTGAGTTGCCATTGTGCCACGCCCCGGGTCATCACACGACCGTTGCACCATCCCTGTAGTCACATGATCAAAATTCAAATGCTTGGCATGAACTGGCATGAATTTATGAAGTTTGCAATATCCCGGGGTCATGTGATCCTCTTTTGTGACTTTCTGACAAGCAAAATTTAACTTAACAACTGCAATGACTTAACAAGTGTGATTGGAAAGGTTGTTAAATGGGGCAAAACACACTTAATAACCGTCTTGCTTTGGGCTCCATTGCAGCCGTAAATTGAGGGCTATCTATACATGATCCAGCTTGGGACTTGGTTATAGGGTGGAGGAGTTGCTTTGTTGATTCCTCCTTATTTACAAGATACATCAGGTACCAACAAACGGTGTTTTTTGATTAATCCAGTGTTTGGTTGAGTGGATATCATGGCAGACATATAGCAATAGCACTTACACTTATAGACCGCTTCACAATGCTTTACAGCCATCTCTAAGCAGTTTACAGAGTTAGCATATTGCCCCCAACAATCTGGGTCCTCATTTTACCAACCTCGGAAGGATAGAAGGCTGAGTCAACCTTTGGCCTGAGGAGATTTGAGCTGCCAAATTGCAGGCAACTGGCAGTCAGCAGAAGTAGCCTGCAGTACTGCACTCTAACCACTGCGCCACCGGGGCTCAATAGATATGGATAATGCCATCTCAGAACATAGAATAACATTATCGGAAAGGAACTTGGAGGTCTTCTAGTCCAACCCCTTCCTACTCGGGCTAGGAGGCCCTCTATCATTTCAGATAAATAGTTGTCCAAGTATTCATTCCAACCCTCCACTGATAGGACTCAAAATTTTTACTACTGGTTCTGTGAGTGTGGCTTGGTGGTTGTGTGGTGGTGGGCGTGGCAGAGGAAGGATACTGTAAAATTTCCATTCCCTCCCCACTCCAGGGAGAAGGTTACTGCAAAATCCCATTCCCTCCCCACCCCACTAACCTGCTTTCCAGCTCCGTTCTCCTGTGCAGGGCAACCAAAGAAGACCCAGATGATCAGCTGGGATTCAATGGAAGGCAGAGAATAGATGGGGGCGGGGCCAGTCAGAGGTGGTATTTGCCGGTTCTCCGAACTACTCAAAAGTTCCGTACCGGTTCTCTAGAACTGGTCAGAACCTGCTGAATACCACCTCTGCAACCCTCCTAGGATTCAGGAAAGCCACCCAATCCTGGTTGTTTCAGCAGGCCTTAGGGTGGACATGTGCTAAAGCCTTTTGCAGTAGAATGCTTCTTTAATTGGATTTTAATCGTTCCCCGTTCATTATCCACTTGTGGCCTTACTCCCACGTGGACCCTGAGTTCTTAATTGCTCCTTTCTTTTAGCAGCTCTGCACATGCGCAGACTGGGAATTGGTTCCAACTGCTCCCCAGCCTCACTGCTATCTGAACCCCAAGACAGCTGATGACTGCCAGCCTGCCCTGGCCCCATCTCTGCCTCTGATGCAGATCCCTTGTCTGAGCCTTCCTCAGCCTCCAAGACTGGCCCAGGTTCATCCCCAGCCTCCTCACTGCTGTCCGACTCTGCTGCCACCTCTGCCCGCCGATGGCGGGCCACAACACAGAGTTTACAACCGTTTTTTGCTGCGGTGCTTAAACAAACACTGCGTTTGTCGAGTGAAGTCACTCAGGGACATTTTTTTATTCTGCCAGAAACTGGAAGTAAAGGTCACTTTCCAGCAAAAAAAAAAAAAAAAAAGTCATCCATCTCAGTCACATGACTCTGAGGTGCAGGCTATAAATGTCCATAAATGCAGGCTAGTTGTCAAATGCTCAAGAGATGATCACATGACCACAGAAAGGAGGCCGGCCATCCGAACTTTGAATCCAGGTTGTAAGCGGCTTTTTTCAGGGTCTGTTATAGCTTCAAACATTCGCTAAGCAACCAGTCGTAAGCCGAGGATTACCTCTGCTCATTTTGGCTAAATAGGTTATACCAATGATGGCTCACCTTTTCCACGTTGCGTGCCAAAAGTTGCGGTCGCGTGCCTGCACTCCTGACGCAATGCGCGTGCGACCCCCTCACACACCGCCCACCTCTGGGCATACTCATGCAACACCCCCCCTACACGCTGCATACCTCTGCGCACGTGCGCACAACCTCCCTGCACCGTACACCTTTGTGCATGCGCGCACATACCTCTGCGCATGCACGGCAGATACCCGACAATCAGCTGGCTGGTGGGCGCACGCAAGCATGCACAGTGGGGCCCTTCCAGGTGACCTCTTGCGTGCCAGCAGAAGTGGCTCACACACCATAGGTTTGCCATCATGGAGTTATACGAACCAAAAATACTGTGGTTTAATATGTTGGGTAGAGCCAATAGCAGAATAGAAAGTTTAAAATATTTATTATTTTTTACTTTGGGGTCCCTTTAAGGGGTCTTGGGGTCCCTCAGCGGTCCCCAAATCACCCTTTGAGAGCTGCTGGTCTAGAGAGACATAAATCAATGGCGTCTATGGCGATTCTCAGTCATCCGGGTCTTGGTTGTCCCAAAGAGGTTTCTTTTCAAAAGGCAACTGAACTTCCTTGGTGATTGCTTGAAGATGTTTTGCTTCTCATCCCCGAAGGTTTTCCAGTTCAGTTTGCACCTTTGGGATAAATCAATGTTCCTGGATTATCAATATTTACATTTTGATAGGAGGGATGGAATGTATGTCTTGCTGCACATTTTTATGTCATATGCCAACGGTGGGTTTACTGGTAAAGTGACCGTTGTTTTTAGAGGCCAATACTTAAATGGAAAAGCAGCACTTTTTGGTCGTACAAAGGCAGGGCCTGCCAGTCTCTATAAAAATCTCCCAACCTGTTTTTACCTTGCCCCTAAAAAAACACACACGCTATATGTAATAGTATAATATTGCTCGCAATGTATAGCTAGGTTTGTATAGTGAAGCTCAAAGTGTGAACCGCTCCATGTAGAAAACCAATAAACTCTCTTAGGTTTCCAGCTAGCGGTAAAGGGGTATTTGCCACTATCACCAAAGGCATAAATATTGCATTGTTTTCAGTTAAGTGTCTTCGTGGCCACCTTCACGTTCTCCTCTTCCCAGATTTGAGCTGCCAGGAGTTTGTAAAACAAAGTTGTGTTTTCTTGGAGCTCTCCCTGCATTAATCCTCAGAATATATTTTCCAGTCCATCCTGCAAAATATAAATGAAATCATTTCCAAAGGAGCTTTTTTTTTTTTTTCCTAAGGGTCTGGGTGGCAGAAAATTGGGCTGCCTCGCTGTTTCAGAAATGAGAAATCCTTCAATTTTATGTGTACTCCAGTGTCAGAAGCAGATAAGGTATGCCATTCAATGACCTTTTGCCTCTATATTACCACAGCAGTTAATGAATTGGAGAGAAATTAATTTTCTTTAGCTGTGATGTCAATTAGCCGCCCTGCCGAATATGCCACGGGCTCCATGGCACACTTTCATTTGTTGTTCCTTAATTAAAGTCAAGAGTGAAAAAAGGTGGCTATTTTAATTAACTAACTGTTATTTTTGCAATAATTTTAATTTAAAAGAAAGGAAGGAAAGTCTCCATTCTAATTGAGTTTTTATTAAGAGGGGAATATGAAATGAATATTTCAATTCAGGTTTTTGTAACTGGCGATGCCTTTGTCCTGTACGGAGAGTCAGGCGCTGGCATTTAACAGAGAGGCAAGTCGGACTGAAAATAAAATCGGGGAGGTGCTTCTTCTAACAGTTTTAAAGATAACCATAGTAGTGCTGGAGGTTTTAGAAAACCCTTCAAGAACAATCAATATATGTCAGCCAAGAACCTTTTTTTATTGATTGATTTAATTCTCCTAAATCCGTGATGGCGAACCTATGGCACGCGTGCCAAAGGTGGCATGCAGAGCCATTTTGTGCGGGCACATGTGGCCCAGCCAAACTTAGCTGCACTGTGCGTGCGTATGCCTCTCAGCTGATTTTTCGGCCCATTTGAGGCCATTTTCGCCCTTCCGGAGCCTTGAGGGAAGCCTCTGCAGCCTCAGGTAGCCGAAAAAATGGCCTTCTGAAAATACCGGAAGTGCCGAAACTGGCCCGTTTTCAGGCTCCCGAGGCTTTCCTGAAGCCTCCAGGAGGGCAAAAACGGCCTCCTCCCGGGCTCCAGAGGCCTTCCAGAGGCTGAAAAATGGGCCTTCCAGAAATACCTCCTAAGGCTGTAGAAGCTTCCCTCGAGCAAAAACGGAGGGTGAAAATGGCCTCAAATGGGTCGAAAATCAGTTTGGAGGCATGCACATGTGCAGTGCAGATAAGGGGATGGGGTGGGGGTGTTGTGTGCGCATGCACAGGAGGACGGGGCACATTGCATTGTGGGTGCTGGCACACGTACGTGCACGCTATCACGCGCTTTTGGCACACTACAACAAAATGGTTTGCCATCACTGTCCTAAATGCATTAGCAAGAGCACAGGTAAACCTTGAGGTACAACCAGAAAAGAGCCCCAAATTTACATCGCTAAGCAAGACATTTGTTAAGTGAGTTTTGTTCCAATTTACGGCCTTTCTTGCCACATTTGTCAAGTGAATGACTTCAGTATTAAGTTAGTTGTACAGTTGAGTGGATCTGGCTTCCTTGTTGAGTTTGCTTGTCAGAAGGTTGCAAGTGGCGTTCCGTTGACCCCAAGACTACTGCAACCTTCAGGAATGTAATGTGAGCCAGCTGAATTTTGATCCTGTTACCATGGGGATGCTGCAAAGGTCATAAAAGTGGGGAAAAAATCATAATCATAAGTCTCTTTTTTTCAGTGCTGTTGTAACTTCGAACAGTTTGTCACTAAACTTTTGTACGTCAAGGACTTTCATTCTCAAATGATAAAACAATAGTAATAATTACACATTTCTCCACTAGCAAAATTACTCCCCTACTTGGGAGTAATCACACACATGACACACACACACACGCACACACAAACATCAGAGTTTAAAAAGCAGAGTTTGAAAAGTTAAGAGTGTTTTCAAAAGAGATGTAGGTGATATGTACTCCATTCATATATAGGTGATCCTCACTCAACAGTTGCCCTGTTTGTTGACTTCAAGGCTACAACTATGCTGAAAACGTAACGTTACAATCACTCCTCGTACTGACAACCATCACAGCCACCCGCACAGTCATACGATCGAGATTCAGGCATTTTACAACTGGGGGATCTCCACGATCTTTCCCGCTTCCCATCACCATTTCACAGCTGGCTGCCAACGAGCGAAGTCGATGGAGAAGCCGACATTAAATCACAAGTCACAGTTGAGTGAAGTCTCTCTTAATGACCATGGCTGACTCGCATAACGACCACAGTGGGAGTGAGGTCATAAGTCTACTGCAGTCATGTGATGCTTTGCTTAATGACTGCATTGTTTAGTGACTAAGCAGCCAGTCCTATTTTGGGTGGTTAAGTGAGGACTACCTTTATATTTTTTGCATATTCATACAGGGAAGCAATATTCATCCGGAATATAGCTCTAAATGATCGATTTGCTACCATTTTCCAAAAATCCCTCTAAGAAATGTTAAATGACTGTATAGTATGGAGAAGAGAGAAATGTAGAATTCACAAAAAGGCTGTTGGGGTAAGACAGATTAGGAATCATGGTACTCTTATAGTACATTTCTATGATTTAATATCTACTCACAGATTATAATCTCTGATCAGGATCTAAATATACACTCTTTTTGTTTTTCTTTCTCTTCCCACCCAGGTGGTATCAAGTGTCCTGTATGCAACTTTGTGTACGGCACAAAATGGGAATTCAACAGGCACCTCAAAAACAAACACGGACTTAAAATAATGGAGCAGGATGCAGAGGTAAATACAAGCAGCCATGGCTGTTCTAAAACATCGCTTTTTCCTTGAAATGTTATCAAGGAAAAATTGAAGCAACATTGTCCTATAAAATTTAAAAGAAATATCCTGCTTCTATACGTTTTTATGCATGCAGGGTTATTAGGTGCAAATGAATTGTTCAATGTCATTTATTTCTTTATAATGAAGCCTCATATGAGGCTGAAATTATACATAAGAAATTGGTGGCCATAGCAACAACGTGTGACTAAATTCCATCACAACTCCCAACATCAGTCCAGGCTTTTATCTTTTCAAGCTGAAACCTGAACCAGAAAATAAATAAATATAAATATATATGAATAGAATAGAACAGAACAGAACAGAACAGAACAGAACAGAACATGGAATAGAATAGAATTCTTTATTGGCCAAGTGTGATTGGACACACAAGGAATTTGTCTTGGTGCAAATGCTCTCAGTATACATAAAAGAAAAGATACAAGCATCAAGAGTCAAGAATCATAAGGTACAACACTTAATGATAGTTATAGGATACAATAAGCAATCAAATCATACTAGGAAACAGTCAATATAAATCGTAAGGATATAAGCGACAAATTTTGTGTGTGTGTGTGTTGAGATATTGGTCATGTATTTTTTCATCTGAAGAAGGCAGGGCTTACTTTGTTGGAATACTCAATTCTGGTTGGATTTCTATACAGGTACTATGGACACAAAATTTCCATTGCAAAGCAAGACCATTGTTAAGTGAGTTTTGCCCCATTTTACAACCATTCTTGTCACGCAGTTGTTAAGTGAATCCCTGCAGTTAGTCATACGGTTGTGATCACATGATCCCAGGACACTGAAACTGTCATAAATACATACCAGGTGCCAAGTATCCAAATTTTGATCGAGTGACCATGAGGATGTTGCAGCAGTTGTAAGTGTGAAAAACGGTCATAAGTCACTTTTTTCAGCACTGTTGCAACTTCGAACGGCCACTAAACAAATGGCTGTAAATTGAGGGCCACCTGTAGTTCATTCTGTGGGCACTGCTCTCCAGAGATAACTCGATGCAGCCTTCAGTACAAAAACACACCAGCAAGGACACATATAAGATTGACTGGTGCTTTGATCACTTATTTTGTATCAGTTAACCAGTTGAACCTAAGGCCACCGGAAGGGGCTTCAGACAATCTAGATTCAGAGTGTTATGCAGGGGTGTCAAACTCAATTTCATTGAGGACCACATCAGAGTTGTGCTTGACCTGGGGGGAGGAAGGCATGGCAAGAGTGTGTGGCCAGTTCGAAGTCACTCGTGTTGGGGATTATTAATGAGGTGTTATAAGACTGCAGTCTCATTTTTCTCCTTGGGAAAAAAATGATGGAAAAAAACTGTGAAGATAAATAGAAATCTTAATGACTCGTGTTAAACTTAAAAATTAGATCCTCAAAACTGTTGGTGTTTTCAAGCACAGTCTGGATTGAAAGTAATGCGATAAATTATACTTTTCTTCCAATCAAAAGGATTGCTTTCATGCCTATAATCCTACTGATTTTTAATGCGCATGTCCTTATGCACCCCCTAGTAAAATTAATGAGATTGGTAACAATCAGAGATAAGATTTATTTGATAAAGAGTCCCCCAGTTGTGCAACTGTCTTGTTATATGACCTTAGCAAGTCATTTCCAGATTGCTTTTCTATTAAAAAAAAAAAAACGTTCTTTTGTTGCGGAATCTTTGCTTGCTTCATGCATCAAAAGAATCTTAACTTGTTTCGTTCTCAAGAGCCATTTTGTGATGCTACGCTATGCTATTCAAAGAGACATACTTAAGCTTGAACTGTAGGTAAGCATTTTGGCAGCTCTGTAATAGACCGGGGCCTGTTAACTCCATTTCTTCTCCAACTGCCTTCTGTTTTGCAGCAAACCACAGAAATTCCTGAAGAACCCTCTACGCAGTACCTTCATATCACCGAAGCCGGAGATCTGCAAGGGACTCAAGCTGCTGTGGCCACCTTGCAAGACCTAAGATTTACCTCAGAGAATGGTAACATGCTCTCATTAAGACCCAATCAGTACTTGGAAAAAAATGTTTAGATCATGTTTCATTCAGCTCAGTCTAGTGGTTAAAGGCAGCAGGTGAGAAAGCAGGAAAGTCTTGAGTTCTAGTCCTCCCTTAGGCACAAAAACCCACTGGGTGTCTTTGGGCCAATTACCAGGAGACAGTGAGTTCTAGTCCCGCCTTAGGCATGAAAGCTGGCTGGGTGACTTTAAGTCAATCACTTGGGAGATGGTGACCTTGGGCCAAGCTGTTAGGTACCACCTTTGAAAGATAAGAAGAAAAGACCGCAACAGCATTCAATTAATATTGAAGATACAGTAAGTGAAATTTACACAAGACTCTGAGGGAAAATTGGAATAAGATGCAATAAAGCCCTCAAGAAGGAGAAAATAAGCTCGAAAGGAGGGAGGTGAGACGTTTGAGTCAGAAGACAAGAGAGCTGCTTGGCATACAGAGAGTCCCTGACTTAAGACCACAATTGGAGCAAGAATTTCCCTTTCAAAGCAGGGTGGTTCTTAAGTGAACCACGCCTGATTATATGACCTTTTTTGTCATGTTTCTTAAGCAAATCACCGTAGTTCTTTTTGCGGTCGTTAAATGAATCCATCTCCCCCCATTGACTTTGCTTGTCAGAAAGTGACAATGGCAATCACAAACACTGCACCCATCGTAAATTCATGCTGGTTGCCAAATGCACGAAATTTGAGGGCCAGTGGGAAGTCCCTTTTTTTTCAGTGCCATGGTAACTCACGAAACAAACCGTTGTAAGTCGAGGATTACCTTTAAAGCGTGTGGAGTGGTTGTGTGGAGTATGCAGTGCGGAAAGGTGAACAAAGGGAATAGCGGTCAGAACACCGCTAAAGTTTGCATCCTCCTTACAGTGTTAATCTTAATGCTTCTCCCCCGTAAGGAGGAAGGCTTGATGCCACGGCTGTCAACATCCTTCAGCAAATCATAGAGCTGGGATCGGAGCCCCATGACGGCGCTGCTCTAGCTTCTGTGGTTGCCATGGCTCCTGGGACTGTCACAGTGGTGAAGCAGGTAAACTTTCTTTTCATTCCCAATTGAATGTTCTCTCTCTGTCTGTCTCTGTCTCCCTGTCTCTCTCTCTTTCTCTCTGTCTCTGTCTGTCTGTCTGTCTGTCTGTCTCTCTCTCTGAGCCTGTGATCCTGTGGAACTTCCTTTGGTTATTTGACACACAAGTGCATTTTTGAGATCTCAGCTGAAAGTGGTTGTTCTTCAGCCAAGTAACTCCTTCCTAGACCAATCGCCAGGAGCCCATGAGTTCTAGTTCCACCTTAGGCATGCAAGCCAGTTGTGTGACTTTGGGCCTATCACCAGGAAACAGTGAGTGTGAGTTCTGCCTTAGGCGTGAAAGCCTTCTGGATGATTTTGGGCCAGAGTAGGAAAAGCAGAGCTTGGGGGCAGAGTCAAAAGAGGAATTAGACTAGAATCTCTACGTTGCTACAAGCAGACTAAATCCAACCCCCTTTGAATTCCATGGACCCTTATCTAACTCCAAGCAGGCGCTAACCATTAATTGGCAAGATTCCTGTACATAGACATGAATAGCAGTGTTCGTGTAATTAAACCTTCACGTCTGAACCTGATCTTTCGTGCCTGACAGCCGGTCCCTCGCTCTCAGCCCAATCCACCTCATAGGCTTGTGGGTGGGGGAAATAAGAGGAAGAAGGTGGGTTGAGTATATTTGCCATCTTGTAAAAACATTTGTAAAAACTAACAAAAGTAGGAAATAAATAAACACAGACAGACAGACATATCAAGGTACAAAAAATAGTCCAAGTGTAACAGTGGAGGAAAAGTAAACAAGCCAATGCAATCCTAGATCGCATTAACAGAGGGATAAAATCAAGATCACACGAAGTGCTACTACTGCTTTACAAAGCCTTAATAAGACCGTACTTGGAATACTGTGTCCAGTTGTGGTCCCCATATTATAAAAAAAGATGTTGAAAAAGTACAAAAAAAGAGCAATAAAAATGATTAGGGGGCTGGAGGCTAAAACATAAAGAACGGTTGCTGGAACTGGGTATGTCTAGTTTAATTAAAAGAAGGACTGGGGCGACATGATAGCAGTGTTCCAGTATCTAAGGAGTTGCCACAAAGAAGAGGGAGTCAAGCTATTCTCCTAAGCCCCTGTGGGCAAGGCAAGAAGCAATGGATGAAAACGAATCAGAGAGAAAACCAACCCAGAACTAAGAAGAAATTCCCTATCGCTTAGAACAATTAATCAATGAAACAACTTGCCTCCAGAAAATGTGAGTGCTCCATCACTGGAGGTTTTTAAGAATGGATTAGACAACCATTTGTCCGAAATGGTATAGGGTCTCCTGCTTGAGCAGAGGGTTGGACTAGAAGACCTCCAAGGTCCCTTCATCTCTATTATTCTGTTCTGTTAAGGTTTTGTTAAAGGCTAAGCTTTACTTGGTGTTGGAGCCTGTCCTGCCATCATTGCTGTAGCTATGGGAAGTCTTTTTTTTTTCCCCTCTCTTCAATGGGATTCCGACTTGGTCTTCTTCATCCTTTTCCATCCCTTAATCTCTTTTCGGAGCTCTTTTTGCTTCCTTCTCCCTCCCTCCCCTCAAAGTGAGGGTTGGTCTCCAGCTGTTAGAATGGCCTCTTCTCCTTCTCTCAGCTGCTGTCCTTACCAGCCCTCTCTGTGTGATTCCTCTCTTTGTGCAAATCTTTCTTCTTTCCTTCAATCAGTCTGGCTTAACGAGCTTTGAGGAACTGTTCCAATGCAGCCACTAAGGAGGGTAAATAGCAATAGCACTTGGACTTACATGCCGCTTCACAGTGCTTTACTGCATTACTCTCTAAGGCAGGGGTGTCCAACCTTGGCAACTTCGAGACTTGTGGACTTCAATTCCCAGAATTCCTCAGCCAGCTAGCTGAGGAATTCTGGGAGTTGAAGTCCACAAGTCTCAAAGTTGCCAAGGTTGGACACCCCTGCTCTAAGGGGTTTACAGAGTCAGCCTCTTGGCCCCAACAATCTGGGTCCTCATTTTACCGACCTTGGAAGGATGGAAGGCTGAGTCAACCTTGAGCCCATGAGAATTGAACTGCCAAACTGCTGGCAACCGACAGTCATCAGATGTGGCCTGCAGTATTGCATTTATAACCATTGTGGTTCATAAAATCACAAATTATATTGTTGGTTTATAAGTGGAGTAGCTGGCAGTTAAGCTTACATCAAGCTCACTGGCAAAAAGCAGCTTATATGGACATTAAGCCAAACCTGGCCTTATATCTTTTAGACACTATTTTGGGGTTGAATGTGTTTAAGTCAGTTCTAGGGGAGAGATCTCTTTTGTGGGATCTTTGGTGCTGCTCTCTTAGCAAAGCCCACTCCCTTTTAGCACTGATGTTGTTACCCAGTCAGGTGATGAAACATCTGCATGAAAACCTGGAGCTGTCGGCAGAGTCGGGCAGTAGCGAGGAGGTTGGGGAGGAACTCGGCCATTCCTGGAGGCTGAGGAAGGCTCGGACGAGGGCTCTGCATCAGAGGCAGAGATGGGGGCCAGGGCAGGCTAGCAGTCATCAGCTGCCTTCGGGCTCGGACAGCAGTGAGGCTGGGGAGTTTCTGGAACCGGTTCCCAGCCTGCGCATGCGCAGAGCTGCCAAAAGGAAGGCACAATTAAGAACTCAGGGTCGATGTGGGAGTAAGGCCACCGGTGGACAATGAATGGCCCCTCCCATCAGGATTAAAAGAGAAGCAAAAGGGAAGGGGGCTTTTGCAGGAAACAACTTGCTCGTTCGTTTGTATGTTCCAGCCTTGTGGAGACTTGTCTGTATAACCCAGCCCTTCCCTGCCAGCATTGAGTGTGGAACTATTTACCGGGCAGCGTTCCAGGATTGGTAAAGGTCTGAGCTAATTAGTATCCCTTTGCAAGACTGTTTGCCAAGCCGTTGGCTGACCGCGAATGAAATAAGTTCACATTAATGTAAGAAAAGAGGTTTTTGACGGGACTCTGAATTGACTTAGTACTTTTTGGAGAGGCCGAGGACAGAACAGAGAGCGCGAAGGACCTCAAGTTTGACCCTAATCTCTTCTATCTTTTGATCGTGTTTGCAATGGCTGATACTCCTGTTGTAGTCTCCCCCAACAAGCCGTTGGAGACGTCCCTCCACAAATGCTTGTGAGAAGGAGCAGAGAAGGCAGGCCCGCTTTCACTGAGTGGCCATGATAAATGCTTTCAAGGCTGATCAAAAACACCTTTGCAGCCTTGGGCTGCCAGCTCGGCTCTTCCCTCAGTTTCTCAGTGCCTCTCTTCTGTTTTTTTGTTGATTATCTTTGCTGAGTCTCTTGGCTGTCTGCTGAAGGAAGTGATGAGTCAAGGAATTGAGTTGGCAAGCTGTGAACACCAAATTACCTGGCATGAAGGACTCGAACAATTCCTTAGCTAGCCTTAGAGAAACTCAATTAAGTTGAGCTAAATAAATGCTGAGGCTCTTCTCTGGGTTCTGAGAGGCTGCTCCATAATATTGCCGGAAAAAGAAAGGTGTCTTCTCTATAGCTACCCCAGCCCTTTGGAAGAGCCTCCATGCTGGGCTAGGATGGGGAGAAATGGATGGATATGGAGCCATTATTTTTACAAGTAGTGCATATGACAGAGCATAATAGAGTTGGAAGGGACCTTGAAGGTCTTCTAGACTGACCCCTGACTCAAGCAGGAGACCTTACACCATTTCAGACAAATGACTGTCCAGTCTCTTTTTGAAAGCCTGCAGTGATGGAACTCCCACAATTTCCGAAAGCAAGCAATTCCATTGGTTGACTGCTCTACTATCCAACACACCATCCTCCTTCAATTTTTCCCACAAGGTGGGTTGGGCTGACCCACAAAGGCATCCAGGCAGCTTTCATGCCTAAGACAGAACTAGAACTCAGGGTCTGCTAGTGATTCGCCCAAGTCATCCAGCTGGCTTTTTCATGGCTGTGCCAGGAGTTGAACTCGCGATCTTTCACTTCGTAGCCTGCTTCTTGCATGGGCGATCTGATTGTTTTATTGTTGCGGTCTTGGTTTTGCTGTGCTTTATTTCCCTTTCCAACCCCCTATTGTCTTTTATCAGCAAGTAGTAAGAACGAAAAGACATTTCTCTGAATAATAGATAAGTACCGTCTAAATAAATTTAACACATAATTAAATAATACCATCTGAGGAAAACTTCACGGGGAGAATGGGTGGGGTTTTTTTTTCAATCTCTAATCATTCTAGATTCATCCTTCTTCAACGTATGATTTGAAAGGCAGGTTGTTATTGTGGTTTTTTGCTTTGGGAGTGGGGTGGTGGTGGTGTATATTGTGTCATTCTCTCAGCCCTGTGACTGACAATTGTTGAAACTGTAAAAAGACCGGAGGTTATTTTAATGCCTTGTGTCACGAGTCTCTTTATATTCATCTCTGTCATCTAAAAAAATCCCTCTAAGCGAAAGGGGATCCAAGTGGGCAGAAGAAGAGGGATAGATTTCACTCCCCCTCCCACAGCGTGAAGGAGATAATCAAACTTTATTATAAACAAATTCTACAATTAAAAAACTATTAAAAACATATTTCCATTCACTGCAGCATATTTGTAGCCGTCCTCACTCCCTTTGCCATATTCTTAAGTATGTAGAATATTACTAAATATTATTACAATTGTTTTACATTTGATTTATGTCATCTTTTCGTATATTGATGTAGTTATTGGCATATTTATACATAAGTATATACATGCCTATTGATACCAAATTATATCATCACACCATAAGCTTTCATCCCATTTATCTTGACCTAATTATAAAACTCATCTTGAAATACCTTCTATTTAAGAGTTTTTGAAAGAGGGCCAGGGCTTCTTTCTTTCCAGAAAAAATTAAAAATAAAATAAATGTGTTTCTGTTCTGTCTGTGTATACATGTGATATTACTTACAACCCCATTCTTTTGATCCCATTGAGGTCTTTACAGTTAGTCCTTGACTTACAACTAGTTGTTTAGCGACTTTTCAGAGTTCTAGTACCTCTCTTCCCCCCCCC